GGGGGAGGCAGAGAGGGGAGGAAGAGACAAGAGGTAGATATAAATCCAAAATTTGACAATTCTGGATTTACGCTTGTCATCCTTGGCAGGGGCAGTTTCCCAAGAGGGGGAAAAAAAAAAAGGGAAAAAAAAAAACCATGGGTCTACCAACTGGCCTAGCTCAGTCAATGGGCTTGGCTTCGCTCCACTACTCTCGACATTCACAAAAAAGACAAAAATCATGACGGTGCATCTTTCCATGTTCTAACGAAAGATTCGTTCTCGTTTTGCACTCGTTTTGCACATGTCTACAGCAGTGGAGCGAGGCCGGCAGTGGAGCGGGGCCCAATACACTCTTTCACTGTAGAGATACAGACCCGAGTTCAAATCCAATCTCAACCATATGATGATCAGAATAAATTAATTGTGAATTACGTGGGGACGATCAGTTCAACGATGGTATCTCGAGACCGCAGCCCTTCTTAAGGTGTTTTTTTTTTTTGTTTTGTTTTTTTTTGGGGGGGKGGGGGCGGGAAGGTGGGGGGGTTGTTCAGGAAATTGGGGACCTTGCCCATGTGGCTGAATGGTACGCGCATACTTTTTTCAGCAAGCAGATCGCGTCGAGTTCGGGTCCCAGGGGACGCACAAGCACACGATAATATTAGGTGATGTGCTAAAAAAAGAACGTTGATAATGGATTCCTTACTTTTCCCAAAAAAAAAAAAAAAACGAACGTAGGTTACATGCATGTAACCCGTTAGTGAACACATGAGTTCAAATCCCGAAGGAATCGCATCGCATACGACGTGCATTAAAACAAATAATAAATTCATTTACTTGAAAAAAAAAAAAATGGTGGGTGCCAAATAGCGGATGGAGAGGGGGGAAAGATCGTGGAATTGCCGTCAGCACGAGAGCGCCGAGCTGCGAGTATAAAAAAAGGGCGTGCCCTATAAAAAAAGGGCGTGCCCAACTCATCAGGACGCTGAACCCCCTTCATAATGCCCACGCAAAGACTTTCCGCTGCGCATGCACTTGCACGGAAAGTAGCGAGAGGTTCATTCGCATGCATCCTGGTATGCCTAAGCCGTGAATTGCCTACCGTCTTCCCCCGAAAACAGCGCACCCCTATATGGACTGTACGCGAGCCATCTTTCCGGTCAGGTGCAGCCAAAATGAGGGTGCGTTGTGTTCGGGGGAAGACGGTACTAGTCACTGGACCAAGGGTCAGATCCCACCACTACCCTGGATTATTCATTTTTCACCCTCGATTGTGAAGATCAACGGTCAGAAATGAACAATAGCGGCTAGTGGGATCTAGCTCTTAGACAGGATGAACTCGCATAACTCCCATAATAAATAAAGACGACGAAGAATATAAAGGTAAACCACAATAAAGAATGATGGAGTGGATGCTGCACCCCCAGCAGCAGGTGAGATTACTCGAGTCCTCTCCGAACCGTACGAGATAGTCAGACCACAATTACTACCGTCTTCACCCAAATAGAACGCCCGGTAATTATTGCCGTATCTGGACTAAAAATTGCACCAAATACGGCTATAATGACCGGGCGTTCTATTCGGGTGAAAAAGACGGTAGCGGCTGCCTTCGGGGGGCATTCGTCGAAATTGGAACCACAAAGAGTCGAAATGTTCAAAATGAGAATGAACTTACCGCTAGAACATGGCTACATGCACCGGCCACATTTTTGTCTTTTTCCCATTTGCCCTTACACCACTCTCGAAATGTTCAAAATGGTCCTTCGGGACATCCGTTAAAATTGGAACGATACAGAGAGAAAGAAGATTAGCATAGCCCCTGCGCAAGTAAGGATGACACGCATAAATCGAGAAATGGTCCAAATTAAAAAAAAAAAAAAAAAGGTTCAAAATGAGAACGAACTTACCGCTAGAACATGGCTACATGCACCCGCCACATTTTTGTCTTTTTCACATTTCCAGAGTGGTGTGGCAAGGCCCTAACTCGAGGAAATGTCGAAATACATGTATATATCGTCACAAACAGAACTGCCCGGTAAAACCGTAGGCACAGAGAGAGAAGAGGGAGAGGGGGGGAGGGAGAAGAGGAGGGAGAGCGGCTGTGACAAACTGTTTCGTCGGAGTTTCACCCACCGACTCATCATAAACATCTAATCGCACCATAGGGACGGAAACGAGAGATACTCAATCAAGGATCATACATAATCACAATAGGATATTTTGCCGACCGAATATAGCCAGAATTACGGTCAGGCACATCCAGAACAGTACTAGAATGGGTAAGGCTTATTAGATCGGAGAGTAGAAGGATAGGAGATGAGAGGGGGGAGAGGGAGAAACAGGGTAGATAGAAGGTAGAGGCAAAGTACCCCAGCAGAGGAAAAGAGAGGAAGTCACACTTTTACAAGGGAGGCAAAGAGAGGAAAAACCAATTTTGCAGTAAGAAAAGAGGAAAAGAGAGGAAACCGCAAAATTTCATTTATGGGTAGCATTCATTCTCCTTATTAACGCGAACGTGGCTATTAAGCGAGGCAAGGAGCGGCAAACAATCAGCCACATTCGCGTTATGTGTAGCATTTCGTAACGAAAAGAACGAGGCAAGGAGCGAGTCAAGCCGATGCAAGAGAGGCAACAGCGGCAAACAATCAGGCAGGGCAGGCACGCGAACCTGCTATCTCCTCGGTACGTACTCGTAATAGAACTTTCACCTGAATGCGGCTATAACTAAGGGTAGATGCATCCATGAAGCTCCTCATTGGAAAGCCATTCCCAAATCTTCATTGAAAGGTTCCTTATCAAACCGTAGCCCGTCCCGTGGTGTTAACATGCACCCCGATAGTGAAATAAATTGCGCAGAATGTGGAGCACAAGCTGAGTCAACAACAACAAATGCTCCCAGAGGTTACTTTCCGGGTACACTGTGAAAAAAAAAAAAAAAAAACGAAACTGGGTAATACTCCTCGAGACTCTATTTT